GAGATTTGTGGATTTTAAGAGGCAGAATCAACACCAGGGAATATTTTTGCCTATCTTTCCAAATTCTCAAGCACATCCCCTGATGCATTTCTACTTCTCCTTAATTTCCCCTGACGTCTGTTTTCTAGATCCCAGAAAAACAGTATGTGCTGACAGCCCTGGCTGCTCGCGCCAAGCTTCGGGCCTGGCATGATGTCGATGCCCTCTTTACCACAAAGGTGGGTGCCCTGGGACTGTTCCATGCCGCTGATGCCTTGGCGATACCATCTTGTCATCCCATGCCTCCTGGGAGTCTCAAGTTCTAGTTACTGGTAGACATTTTTCCTTCAGATTTTTATTTTCCAAAGTTTCAAACCTAAAGAAAAGCTGAAAGAATAGTTAACAGCCTTCACCTGCTTCACTAATTTGTTAACATTTTTACCATATGCTTTTTTTCTTTTGCTGAAACATTTGAAAGTAAGTTGCAGATACCATGATACTTTTCCTTTAATTACTTAAGCATTTATCTCATTTGTAACCACAATATTATCATTCTCAAGAAATTTAACATTAATATAAGAATATTATCATACATATAAATTAGCTCTTTAGAGCTGTTTTTTGTTTGTTTTTGTTTTTGTGTGCTGTCAGGATCCAGTCAAGGATCTTGCATTACATTTGGTTGTCATGTCTCTATTAGTTTATGTTTAAATATCCATTTTTCCATTATGGGTTTGACAGTTTTTTGTTCTCCCCCTTTGTTAGTTATTTAATTGGCTACATTAACTACCAAAGCAATATATGCCTGTGTCAAAATCAAACACGATATGACAGTGTAGAGGGTAAAGAGTGACGTTCCTCTTCCATTGTCCACCTGTTCCTTTCTCAGTCCCTTCCTCAAGGCAAGCACTGTGAAAAGTTTGACGGGTGGCTTTCCAGACCTTTCCTCATGAACTGACAAGTAAACATTTATATGAATATAAAGATGTAAAGGGTAGGATTAGTCTACCCAGATAAGTTCATACTACAAGGATTGTTAAGTAAATTGCTTATTTTATTTAGCCATATTTCACAGACATTTTTCTGCATTCGTGCCTATAGATCTAAGAACTTATTTCATACCTCTGACTCTTTTCCACCCTCCTGAGTTCCTTGACTTTTCTGAAACTCTCATCTCTCTTCATTTCTCTCTCCCCCGCCTCGCATTCATCCACTCCTCATCACCATGTTATTCTAGTCTGACCATAAAACATAGGGAGATTAGCTCAGACGTCTGGCCTACCCACAGCTGCCCCATCTTCCTTTTTCAGAACTGGCTGGGCTATACCAAGAAGAGAGCACCCATTGGCTTCCATCGGGTTGTGGAAATTTTGCACAAGAACAGTGCCCCTGTCCAGGTAATGGCTCTTAGAGGGTACAGGATCTTCTAGGAAACCTAACTTTCAGCCTCTAGGGCTCAGCGATGGGAGACTTGACCTGCTCTGGTCTTATCTTAAAGGCAGCATAATGGTTGTACTGCACGTTGACATAGAAAAGGCCAGAGAAGGAAGTTCTCCTCTGCCCTTAAGAAGTAATCCAAGTCTGCCCTCTCTGAGGAGCATCTACTGTGTTTAGCCCAGGTGGAGTACTGACATACTATTCAAATGATGCAAAAAGAGAACTTAATGAGAAAGGACATCAAGGAGCAGGGGGGCACAGCACGGGGTCAGGTCTAGGGCATACCTGTTGCTGGCATGGGTATCTAGCTCTGGGATAAGGAGGAATGGGCCCTTCCCTTCTTTCCTGGGGGAGCATGGAGGTACTGCAGAGAGTCTACCTCATTTCCCTCTGCAAAACTAGTCCTGTGGTTGATGATGGGAATTGTAGACTGCAGATACTGACTCTTTTCCTTCTTCAGGATTTTTTTTTTCTACCTTTCAGAGCTCTGGGTTTAATACCTCTGGGAATCATTAATCAGAAGTACTTCTTTTCACAGATATTACAGGAGTATGTCAATCTGGTGGAAGATGTGGACACAAAGTTGAACTTAGCCACCAAGTTCAAGTGTCATGATGTCGTCATTGATGTGAGTCCGTAAGAAATGAAAACCCTGAGTTAGACCTCAGTGGGAAGTGGGAGATTATAGTCTCAAGTCCTAGATTCTGAGGTTCGTCTGTCAGTTTCAACTCAGTGGATAAAGTGGTCTGGCAAGAGTTAGTTTGGAGACCAGCACTCCTGTATGATTTTCCCAGCCCTCTGACTGGTTTCTCTCTGCTTTTATAAATTCGTTGCACTCGGAGAATTCATAGAACTGAATCAAGCCACATAACCTCTGTAGACTTCTCTTCAGCATGAAGTTCAGTGGGTGCTTGACCCCACTGCTATCCCACTGTAGCTTCCTGGCTTCTCCTTGAAACTTAGCTCAAAACGGGAGTGACAAAAGGAAAAAGGCCCTTCTGGAGAAGGCTGATTGGTGGTTTTTATTGTTGTCTGTTTTGGTGATAGACTTGCCGAGACCTGAAGGATCGTCAGCAGTTGCTGGTGTACAGGAGCAAGGTGGATAAAGGATCTGCCGAGGAGGAGAAGATTGATGCCATTCTCAACAGCTCGGTGAGCAGCTGCAGCTTACGCCTCCAGCAGTGTCAGTAAACAGTTCATAGAGTAGCATTGAGTTTATATTCCCACGGCCTGGATGGGATTGCTGTCAGCCAAGCCTGTGGATCTCTTGATGAGGGTCTCCTATGGGCCTACAGGGCAAAAGCACTGGTTAGAACAGCAGAAGTCACTCCTGAGATGTGGGATGACATAAGGGTGATGTGGGGACCTTCGCTGACAATTGTAGCCCTCTGATCATTGTTAAACCTAGCAGGTAGGAAGGACTAACTGCTGGGAGTCTAGAAACAAACGTTACAGATTCAGAATATCCAAACTGCATAGTTGCCTGGGGCTGGATGTGACTTTCCTGTTGGGAGGGAGAAGTGGGTGAAATAGATTTTAGCTATTTGGGGAACACAGCTGACTCATCTCTCATAGCAGAAAATTGCTGAGCTTATTGTTAACGTGGAGCTTAGGTCCCTGTTAGATATTTGGAACCTTCCACAAGCTAAAGCTAGTGAATCTTTGTCCTCAGGCAGGCAGAACCAGAATAAATGCCCTAAATCAGGCTTGTAAGATACAGAATAGGTATTTAATCCATCTCTAAATAAATGAACTCCCCCCCACATTAAAAATAATTTTTTTCTCAACCTCCCCCCCTGCATCCTTCTTTTCCTTACATTACCTAGATGTGGGCCTTGTTTTATCGAATTCCATCTGCCTATCTGTAAGGATCAGTGAAAAACTGATCATTGTTTGTTTTTTTCACAGCAAATTCGATGGAAGAATTAAGTGGCATCAGCTCCCTTGAAACCTGCCTCATTTCTTCCTTTCCTGCCTGTGAAAGTAGAGAGCGCTCTTCTTGGGAGAGTTAAGCATCACATCGCTCGGGCCCATCGTCAGCAGGCAGTGCCTGCTACCTGTGGGACAGAGACTAGCACCTGGGCACCGACAGCTTCAGACCGATCTTTTGTCCAGGGGCCATCATCTGAGGGGCAAGATCTAAAGCTTTGCCTCATGAGGGACTCTCTCCACCTGGTGCTTATGTGAAGGTGGGAATAATTTCTAGATTGGGCCCATATTGGGCAAGATCTCTCTTAGTCTGCGGAAAGTGACTGCTCCAGAAAGGAAGTCTCCTCGACTGAGAGGTACAGGTGTCCTAGGGTGGCCACTCCATTCCCCTCAGCTAATTATGACCCTGGACTTGGTGCTGGACATTGGCAGTTTTGCTCTGAAGGAAGTCAGGACAGAACCGGAATGGCTCTCTCCCAAGGGGCCTCAGGAAGCGCTGCCAGTGTTGCCAGGACCTGTTGGAGGCGCCCTCACACTGTACAGAGTCCTCCGCCTCATGACAGACATTGCCAGCGTCCCTCTGCTGCCATGGTCTTCCCTTTGTACAAAAACTGGTTCCTCTCTCACTTGCACCCCGAGGTGGCCTTGTGTGACAGATGAGAGCATCCCCCTTACCTTTCCCTCCCACCCAGACCCCTAACCTTATATGGAGCTCAGATTCAGCATTGCTGGAGGAAGCTCTCCTTTTCTGCACAAATCTCATTATTTCACTAGGACCTTCCACAAGTTTCACCGGGGCTAAACTCAGCAGCTTTTCTGTTAGGCTATTAAGATGGAGGTTTTAGTTTCATGGTTGGTTTTCGAGAGGATATTCTGTAATGCCAGTTTCCTGCATTCCTGTACCAATATTAGCCTTTCTTCTCCGTGACTGAACTGGGTTTCCCAGACATGCCTAGACTCCTAATAAAGCTGCTGCTTCCTTGGTGCCTTCTCTTTCCCTCCCAGTTATTTTGTACAGAACAGTGAAACATCTGCCCCGTCTCTTGGGACCACTACAAATCTGCCTTGGTGACAGCATTCAGCAGCCTGTCAGCACTTCAGGTTGTGGAGTAACAGTGCTTACGGCAAAGCAGGGCCGTGTGGTTAACAGAGGGAGCACTGCCCCCTGGCTGAAGACCGGGCCTCTCGTCCCAGCTCTACCACTGACAAGCTGTGTGGTGCTGGGCGAGTCCCCTTCTCTCTGGACTCATTATCTTAATCTGTGAGGGGAGGGCACGATTCTCTCAGAGCTTGTAGGATTCTGTGCTTTCGTGGCTGTGTGGAGTGGGTGAAGTGGTAGGGTGAAGAGAAGATGCCCGTACAGAGGCACACAGCAGGCTTTAAGGCAATGTGGTTCTCATCTGGAGGCAATTTTGCCCCCCAAGAGACGTGTCAATATCTGGACACGCTTTTTTTTTTTTTAAAGAATTTATTATTTATTTATTTATTGGCTGTGTTGGGTCTGTTGCTGTGCGCAGGCTTTCTCTAGTTGCGGTGAGCAGGGGTTACTCTTTGTTGCAGAGCATGGGCTCTGGGTGCACGGGCTTCAGTAGTTGTGGCTCGTGGGCTCTAGAGCGCAGGCTCAGTAGTCATGGTGCACGGGCTTAGGTGCTCCGCAGCATGTGGGATCTTCCCGGACCAGGACTCGAACCCGTGTCCCCTGCATTGGCAGGCGGATTCCCCACCAGGGAAGCCCTGGAGACACTTTTTGTGCAACAACTGGATGGAGCTCCTGGCATCTAGTGGATAGAGGCCAGGGATGCTATTAAGGATCCTACAATGCACAGGCAGCTCCCTGCACCAAAGAATTATCCGGCCCCAAATGTCAGTAGTGCCAGTGTGGAGAAAGCCTGCTCTAAGGGGATCAGATTCCATCTTTTGCTCCTGTACTTTGTAATGGCCTTTGCAATTCCAGGTAACCTCATATTTGGTTCCTTTCCGAATCAACCCTCTTGCTATTGAAGAAACAGGAGTTTAATTCGCTAAATTGTGCTGAAGTTATTGACCGATCTTCAAATAAACAGTGGTGACCTAACTAGTGTATGAGGGTTCATTTAGAGAAGCAGAGCCACTAGGATTATATAGTCTGCCACTCTGTCCACCTGTCTAATCTACATGTGGGATTCATTACAGGGCTTTGACCTTGCTCAAGTGTGGCAGCCGGTACAGTCTCTGGAAGGTTATCTTCATGTCTGGTGGTAGAGCTAGAAATCCATAGGGCAGGCAGTGGGAAGGGAAGATGGATAATAAGTGAGGGGAGGGGGAGCAAGGATGAGCTGGAGCCCATGAGGATGGACTGGAACCCCTGCCAGTTCTCACCGCCCCCAACCTGAGGAAGTGGATGACCTGCAGGGGAAGCTCACTGGTGGCCTTTGTCACACAGCTGAACACACCCCTGGCCCAGGAGTTGAGAAGCTACAGGAGGATCCCAGGGAAGGTATAGCAGTTGCGGGCCCAACTGCTGCCCCACAGCAACAGCGCCGCCCGCAGACAGTGAAAGTGCCTGCCCAGCCTCGCAAGCACAAACGGCTGCTGCACTTCCACCTCCAGATCCGCACGAAACCTCTCCTGTGGTGGCACACCCTAACTGGAAACAGACAGGGAAGGGAATGCTGGAAAATGTAGTTCAGCCTAGCCAACTCGATGTGTTACAACGCCACAAGCAGCAGATCCCCATTTTTGAGAATGCGTAAGTAAAGGATGGGTCTAGAATCCACGCTTATACAAGTTAACGTGTGCTGCGTTGTCATGCTGAGTTGGAAGGTTTTGAGCGTCTCTTTCCTTCAGATCAGGAAACATCACTTGCAACATTCAGATGGCCTACCCACTGTTACGGTCTAAGGAAGGGTTTCTTAGACTTGAAAACTTGTCTGCTCTTCACTTCAAGTGCTGGAGACTTTGCTTTTAAAGCGATTGACCTAACAGCCCTCCTACAAAAGGGATTAGAGAAGCCAGATACTAAAGGTCACGTTTTGTATGATTCCATTTATGTGAAATAGCCAGAAAAGGTAATTCCACAGAGATAAAAACAGATATGTGGTTGCCAGGGGCTGAGTGGGAGGGTGGGGAGGAAATGGGGAGTAACTGCTTATTGGGTATAGCATTTCCTTTGGTGGGAGTTGAAAATGTTTTGGAACTAGAGGTAGTGGGTGAGCAACACTGAATATACTGAACTGTTCACTTTTTAATGGCTGTTTTGTGAATTTCACCTCAATAAAATTTTTTTTTAATTTAAAAAGGTTAGAGAGGAGCAGTTTTGAATTCTGATCTCAATTTTGCCATTGCTATAAAATAGATTAGAGTTTTGAATATTATTTTTCCCAGCTTTATTGAGGTATAATTGACAAATAAATATTGTATATATTTAAGTGATAACAATATAATGATTTGATATACACTGTGAAATTAGTACCACAGTCAAGTTAATTAACATGTCCATCACCTCACAGTTACCTTTTTTGTGGGGGTGGTAAGAACACTTAAGATCTACTCTTAGCAAATTTCACGTAGACAATACAGTATTCTTACCTATAGTCACCATGATGTGCATTAGATCCTCAGAATTTATTTTATCTATTTTGTTTATTGTTTTATTTATTATTATTTATTCATTGATTTCTTGAACACAAAAAGAAGGGGTTTGAAAAATAACTCTGAGTAGTGCTAAGATCTGTATGATATTGCAGTCTGCCAAAAAAAAAAACAAAACTAGAAGTCTAGAAACTTCTGTTGGGAAAAGGGGGATCCCATACTGCCCTGGTGTAGTACTCCAAGAAGTAGTGAAGGAATTCTTGCCCTCATGTTGCAGGTCTGGAAAACCTCCAAGTGGGGCTGGCCCCTTTAAGGCTCCAAGACTGAAGTAATCCGGTAGCTAAGGAGTCATAATGACAACCTTCTTGGGTAATTCTCCCTGAAAATGTAGTTCTTACCCTCCAGTACCAGAACCACTGAGGAGCAGAGCCATCTTCTCCTCTGTTTGGTTGGTGAGAGATATATGTGGATGGGCTTATACCTCTCTGGCTTCATTTTCTAAAATCTAGATGTCCCCGCCCTAGATAAAGGACCGTGATATTTAGTTTGGGTTCTTTTCTACCCTGTGGGGAACACAGAGTTTATTGAAAGGGGAGAATTTCTGTGAAATGTGGTCTAAGTGTTCAGTCCTATGTCTAAAACCTAGGAGAGAATGGAAGGGAGAAGTGTGCCTGTGAAACCCATTGTTAATGTAAATGCATCTGCTGAAAACTGTGCCTGGAGCCTATATGGATTTTGTCCAGGTTTTCCATGAATTCAGTATTCCTGACTCACGGGTAGTCAGTGCTTAGGAATTCTCCAGGACTCACACTCAGAGAAGTGGATGAGAGCTGCCAGTTCATAACCGGGAGGAGAGGTGCTGAAGCCACCATCAGGAGGCCCTGAGACTTGGGCACACACACCCTCCTGTGTAGACTCCTTCTTCTTCCCGGACAGGGAGCCGAGTTGATTGGTGTCTGTTGTTGCAGGAGATGCTGGTTTGGAGATGGACATGCTAGAGGACCTTGAGACACTGCAGTTTGAGTATGGGATTCAAGAGGAAGACCACAGCTGGCTGTATTTGCTGGGCCGTTCTCATGGGCTGATGACCAAGGCCTGTGCCCATGCAACCTTCTTCTGCAAGCTACTCCATAATTTGAGGTAACCTGGGTCTCCAAGGTCAGGCAGATGGAGAAGAATTTCACTGCAGAGAATCCAGATGACTTAAACTTTTTATATTGGAGAGTAACTTTGGCAGGGGGAGGGTCCTCCTACCTTTTCCAACCCACACTCGAGTACTGCTGGTCTGAAAGCACCAGGGAAATGCACACCAGGGTCCCTTGGCTGTGTTTATGTAATAAAGCATGGATTAGTGGTGATTTCCTTTCAGTGAGTAGACATTAAATAATCCATTCATTCATTCGTTCATCCATCCTATCATTCACTCCCTCATCAGGATGACCAGCTTGTCTGCCACAGCTACTAATCACTAGCCATTCCATGGCTACTGGCTGAAAATGGGGTCATTTTTTTCTTTTGGGGCTGAGCTAACAGTGGAATGCTTCCTCACAAGAAAGCTTCCTGGAAATTTGGGGGTCCTTATGGCCGGATGACTTGCCTGAAACCAGGAATACTGATTTTCAAAGAAGCTCTCAGTCCAGTCCTGGCTTCTGACGCTTAAATAGGAGGTGTGTGAGAGCCAAGTACCTAGGACTAGGCTCCTGGATTCTGTAACTCTAGGTCACTCTTGGAGCATTTGTCCCCACCCCCCAACCCCTCAGTCTGCTTCTCAGTTTACTTTTCTCTGAAATTAGATTAATTCCTAGATGGTGGGACCAGATCTGAGTTAAACATGTTATAGATACAGCACATACCCGAGGAGGCAGACTACTCAAGAAGTTTGCTGACTGGCTGACTGATAAGGATGCGTAGTAAACCTCTTGGCTGCCTCCAAGGTGAGTGATGAGAAACCAACATGGGAAACTTCCAGGAGGCATCTTCTATTTGGAAGGATCAGGCACAGAGAGAAAATGCTCTCCTTTTAACCAAAAGAGAAGCCTTAAATAGAATGGGGCTTGTGATGCTTACATGGAAACTCCAGAGCTTTAAGACTCCAATTTTCACAGAAATACAGAACAAATATAAGATTGCCATATAACAACATAAAAAATGCCTTATGTATTCAGAGGTCCGACTTTGTTCATCTTGGGTCAAGTGAACCTCCAGAAAGAGTGGCCTCAGATCCTTGATCCTCAGTTTCTTAGGTCTGTTTTCCCTTATAAACCATTTACTTTTATAAATCATTACGTTTGGAAAAAAGCTAAGTTACATGGTTTCCTGGGTTTGTGCAGAACTGAAATAGCAAACTAGAAAGAGGAGGTGTATAGTAGGAGAGGGGTGCACTCATCCTGATGGAGATGGAAATTGACAGCTGTCTGCACGGGAAGCAATGAAGGAACTGGCTCCCCATGTTCCAGGATAAGGTGTAATTGTAATTAGGCTGTTTACAGTGATGGTCCTGAGTCAAAGAAATGGTTAAGTAGTCAGACCTTGTGTTTAAGAAGGCAGGGAAATGCACAATACATATAACCCAAAAAATGTTCACTTAAGAATGTTTTAAACAAGTTCTGATCCTTTGAAAGGGGTATGCTTTACTTCCTGGAAAATTCACTCAGGAGGAACATTTCATTCCATCAGTGAAGCTGGATTAGTGGGACATAATTGGAATTCTTCTCTCTGAAGTACTTAAGGTGTCACAGCAGGCTGCATGTGAGGAAGTTAAACCAGAGAACATCAGAGGTTGACAGTCAAGAAGGACTAAGGGTCTGCGTTTACTTGGGTGTGTGTCTGTGTTCATTCTCCAGAGAATCATTCTCCAGAAAATCATTACAGAAGAAGCAAACTTCTAGATGTCGCTTGGCTGGATTGCGTGAAGATACTCCTGATGACGATGCGTTAAAGGTGGGCATCATTGGAGGTGGCCACCTTGGGAAGCAGCTGGCTCATACACTGCTTCAGCTTGTCCCCATCCCAGCTGGCAGCCTGAGGATCTCCACTCGGGGGCCAGAAGCCCTGGGTGAGGAGCCCTGCGCAGTAGAAGGGGGGCTTGGGTGTGCTCTTTAGGTGGTGACGAGGCCATTTTGAAAGGGTCCCTCAAAAGAGGAATCCTCGCATACAGCATGCCAAGTTCTCAGCTTGCTGGCCCTCAGAAAAGCCAGAAAGATGGTTTTTTAACTTGTTCCTTAAAGCAACTTTCTTCTCCACCTAAATATTTATATCCATATCTCCTCCCTGTGCCCTTGGTGGCGAGATATCTTTCTGGGTCTTTGATATAGAGAAGCTTTCCAAACAATTCAAATTTTCTAACTGGACCAGTTAGAGTCTGAGTGGTGTTTACCAGTTCCAAATATTTGGTCTTATTTTTTTAGAATAACATTTACTGAAAAATTTTTTTAAAGTTTTATAATGTTTCCATTTATTAACTTATGGTGATAGAAATCAGAACAGTGGTTGCTTCTGGGGAGACTGAGAAGAGGCCCAAGGGAACTTTCTGGGGAGTTGGAAATATTCTGTATCTTGAGAGAGGTGTGAGTTACATAGGTGTATGCATTTGTCAAAGTTGATCAAACTATTTACTTCAGATCTGTGTGTCGCATTGTATGTAAATTATACTTCAAAATATTTTTAATGTAAAGTAATATATGAATGTTATAGAAAATTTAGAAAACTACCCTATAGGGAAGTAAATAATAACTACCTATAATTCTAGCAGGGTTATCATTTCTTTCCCATTTTTTCCTCTCATTATATCAGTAATTAACACTCTACAAAGCTTTTTGTATCCTGCTTTTTTCACTTAATGTATCATGAGCCTATTCTCATATTATTTGACAGTCTTCAAACTCATGATTTTAAGGTTGTATAGTATTCCTAAGTATGACTGTATGATAACTTATGTAACTGTGTCTCATTTAGTAGGACTTCCTTGTACATAATTTAAAAAACAAAATTACTAGGTCAAAGTACAGGTACAGCTTTATTAAGATATACTTTGTATATAATAAACTGCACATTTAAAAAAAAATTTCTTGGCCAGGCTACAAGGCATGTGGGATCTTAGTTCCCCAACCAGGGATCAAACCCATGCCCCTTGCATTGAAGTGCGGAGTCTTAACCACTGGACCACTGGGGAAGTTCTAAACTGCACATTTTAAAAATGGTAAAGAATCCGCCTTCCAAAGCAGGGGACGCGGGTTCAATCCCTGGTCAGGGAACTAAGATCCCACATGCTGCGGGGCAACTAAGCCCGTGTGCCACAACTGCTGAGCTCACGTGCCTCAATGAGAGAGCCTGCAAGCCGCAAAGTACAGAGCCCACATGCTCTGGAGTCCGCGTGCCACAACTAGAGAGAGAAAATCCACAGCCACAACGAGAGAGAAACCCGAGCACCGCAATGAAGAGCCCACGCACGGCAATGAAAAAAAGATCCTACATGCCTCAGCCAAGATCCTACATGCTGCAACTAAGACCCAACGCAGCCAAAAAAAAAAAAAAAAAAATAAATATTTAAAAAAAACAAGTGTATAGGGACTTCCGTGGTGGTCCAGTGGGTAAGACTTAGCTCCCAATGCAGGGGTGCCGGGTTCAATCCCTGGTCTGGGAACTAGATCCCACATGCATGTCACAATTAAGAAGTCCGCATGCTGCAACTAAGAAGCCTGCATGCCACAACTGAAAGATCCTGCGTGCCGCAACTAAGGACCCAGCGCAGCCTAAGGAAATAAATATTTTTAAAATAAATTAAAAAAATAAAAGTGTACAGTTTGATGTTTTGTGACACATGTATGCTCCTGTGAAACCATCAACGTAATCAAGGTAATGAATCTCTCTACCTCCCTGCAGAACCCACTCAGGAAACCACTGAACTGATTTCTTTTTTTTTTAATTGTTTATTTATTTTATTTTTAGCTGTGTTGGGTCTTCCTTGCCGCACGTGGGCTTTCCCTAGTTGCAGAGAGCGGGGACTACTCTTCGTTGTGGTGTGCAGGCTTCTCATTGCATTGGCTTCTCTTGTGGCGGAGCACAGGCTCTAGGCGCGCAGGCTTCAGTAGTTACGGCTTGCAGGCTCTAGAGTACAGGCTCAGTAGTTGTGGCTCATGGGCTTAGTTGCTCCGCGGCATGTGGGATCTTCCCAGACCAGGACTCAAACCCGTGTCCCCTGCACTGGCAGGTGGACTCCCAACCACTGCGCCACCAGGGAAATCCCCACTGATCTGATTTCTGTCACTACCGATTAGTTTGCATTTTGTAGAATTTTGTATAAATGGAGTCATACAGTTTGTACTTCTTCTTTGGTCTGAATTCTTTTTATAATTAATTTTTTTATTGAAGTATAGTTGATTTACAACGTTGTGTTAGTTTCAGATGTACAGCAAAGTGATTCAGTTATATATATTCAGTTATATGTATATATATAATATATTATACAGAATATATTCTATATACATATATTCCTTTTCAGATTCTTTTCCCATATAGGTTATTACAAAATATTGAGTATAGTTCCCTGTGCTATACAGTAGGTCCTTATTGTTTATTTTATATATAGTAGTGTGTATCTATTACTCCCAAATTCCTAATTTATCCCTCCCCGCAATGGTCTGAATTCTTTCACTCTGCATAATTATTTTGAGATACATCCATGTTGTTGCATGTATTGATATTCTTTTGATTTCTGAGTAGTGTTTTATTGCATGGATACTCCATAGTTCATCTATTCCTCTGTTGATGGACATTCAGGTTGTTTCCAGTTTGGGAATAAAGCTATTATGAACATTTGTGTACAAATATTGGTGTGGAGAAATGCTTTAATTTTTCTTGAGTAAACACTTGGGAATGGGGTGGCTGGGTCATATGGTAGGTATATTTAATTTTTAAAGAAACTTCTAATATATTTTTTCAAATTGACCTACAAGGGATGTTGTTCAGGTATAAACTTTCATCAACAGTGTGTAAGAATACCCATTTTACTACACGCTTGTTAATTCTGGGAATCGTTTTTTTAAAATCACCATTGTAATATGCCTTTACAATTTTTCTTATTTTAATGTCTTTCACTGATCACTAGAAGAATTAAAATATTTTATAGGCTTATTGCTATTTCATTATTTTTGAGTTCTTTTTTGTTCAATTTTTCTGTTGGATGCCTGTATGATTTTTCTTATTGATTTGTAAATGTTCCTTCTTTATTAAGGAAACTAAAAAAATCTTAACCCCTCAAGGCAGATTTCTTAAATCTCATCAATAGGACCAGTATATATGACATTTCAATAAAATGCATATATTCTTCTGGGAAGCAATATGTTTATTAATAATAAAATTACAGTTATAGAATATCACTGTATGTTGTATTAAGGAAGCAAGAATTCAAAATGCTCAGCATCAGCTTCTGTGCACTTTTGAGGACCACATATGGAAGAAAAGTGGATATGCATGTTTTCTAAAGTTCTTCTTTGTCCTGTGTATCTTCCTACCTGGAAGTACCTGAGTACCCAGATAACCTCAGCATCAACTTTATCACATACTTGTGGTGGTTAAGAGAAGAACTGACCTCTGCAATGTCTAACATCCTGTTCTCTGATAACACTTAAAACATACTACCATATGTGAGTTCACATTTTTACTTTTGAGGATCCAGATCACAATAAGTACAATTAAATGATTAACTACCAAGAAGTGTTTTTAGCAACTTCATGAGTTATCACATTTCTTTCTACATCTATAAATATCTTATTGACATTAAATTGTGTATACTTTACTGAAACTGTAAGCATATTTTTGCAAATTCCTCCCAACCTCTGCCCTATACTCTTCCACTCTCTCAGTCTTTCCCATCATTTCAAGCCAGTTAAGCTGTTTAACTTCAGCCCAGTCACAGAATTCTTGAAGCCCCAGTTTCCGCATCTATAATATAGGAATAATACTAGCCTCTGTCTCATAAGGTCCTTATGAGATTCCCTTAGATAACGTATGTACTTCGTACATTATCTGGTACACGATGAATTCTGTAAATTGGAGAAGGCTTCATTCAGACTTTTTTTCTTCCTAAAAAAAGACACTCTGAAAAATTCTAGCATTTGGTCTAAAACATAAGGTAAGGATGAATTATCTTACGATCTCGAGCACTGCTGCAGTGGCACCTGCTGCCACAGTCATGGGGTCAGGGCTTCGCTGTGTGGCTTTTAGAAGGCATGAGGGAATCTCTTCTGATTAATGTGGTGACAAGACTTGAGATAAAATAATTGTCATCCTCTCCCCACAGTTGATGTTGAGTTCAAAGTTCTTTGTACTGTGATTTTTCTGACTTCCTTTATTCCCTCCCAGATGAATTCAAGAAACTGGGGATCCAGTGCTTTTACCATAACTCTTCTCTGGTGGAGTGGGCCAACGTGATATTCCTCTGCTGCCTGCCATCTCAGCTGTCTAATATCTGTGTAGAAATTCAAACCAGCCTTGGAAAAGCCTGCATTGTGTACAGCTTTGTGGCTGCCGTCCCACTACCCAGGTATCTTGTTAGGGTGAGCACAGGATTGGCAGGACTGCTCATCTCCACCCTGGCCCCTACCTCTTGGAGTTGGTCATTCCCAGTCATAAGGTGCAAGCAGCTTCATTGGCAGAAGGACCAGCCAGCCTTTGAAACTGTGTCTTCCCCGCTTTTCCAGCACTTGTGGGTGGGACCTTTTCTTTGATGTGCAAATGTTTAGAACTGCAGTAGAGCATTACTTCCAGCTACTTGAAGCTGAGGAGTGTTCCCCTTGTACGCCACTCAACAGCATGAAAATTGATCCGGAGCATGTGTCAGATACTATTTTTGTACCTTGAGTGTCTAGCTCAGTGCCTGGCTTGTGGTGACATTGAATAAGTGTTGAGTGGATGGGTGAACAATCCATCCAAGATGTAGTGCCCCAGTGCCGACCCACACCTGCGTTTGCCTGTGAGCAGTGCTGTGCAGGGGACTACATTGTTGGGGCTGGATGTAAACTCAGTGGGTCACGTGGTGCTTTATTCCAGTCCGGGCCCTGCACTTCCTGCGTTGGTGGCTTTACTTTCAGGTTGAAACTCCTACTGAACCACACCAATGTCTTGTGACCTCAGTATCAGTGTGTTGAAGATCTTGCCAGCATCTGGGGGGCCAATAAGGAAATCACAGCTGCTCTCCAAGACCCTGTGATTCTTCAGGCTACCTGTCCCTACAGTCCTACTGGTAATGGCTCACGATATTTTTGGTACTTTTAAAAATTACCTTCCTCTTGGCCTACTGCTATCTTATTAAAGCCCTGAGTGTGTGTGTGTGTGTGCGCGTGCATGTGTGTGTGTGTGCGTGTATGCATGTGTGCTGAGGGTGTATGTGTGTGTATAAGTACAAGCTAGATACATTCTCAGCTATTTAGGTTTTACATGGGAACAGCTTTGGTGGCAAAAAGTAGCCTTTTTAGGGAAAGCTAAGAAGTGTGATTAATCAGACCCTTTAAGGATGAATTGGAAACAACCAGAGGAGAGAGCCTATTTAAACCAGGGGATGCAGTGTCTGGGACTAAATGGCTTTTCCTTACTGTAACCTTGCAGTTTGCCTTATTGGCAAGGACCATTCTAGAGATTTCTAGAGATGCATTTGTCATCAGCAATGCCTACATTAACATATCTGTCTTCCTCTGGTAGGGTCAACATGCAATGTGTTATAAAGGGCACACACAGGGTTCTTGGCCTGGAAAGGAAGAGCGCTTATCTTGAGGTTCATATAACCAAACTGTCTTGGACAGAAGGTGGCTGTTCACCGTCTGGGGTTTGTCCTAGGTTCCCTGCAAACCTTTTTGGCGGTGCTAACTGGCATTTCCTTTCTCATTGATGTTTAGGGGATAATCCTCAATATCCGGTGGTTGGAGGGAGTGTTCTATGCAGGAACACTGCACAGGAAAGGACATGCCCCGCTCACAGGCGCTGCGCCTTCTCAATGAACTGTTCCTCTCCAAGCACTTTGAAGCCTGTGAGAAAGATAGAGCGTCTTTCCAAAAATTTCAAGCACAAGATTTTGTCAGCAAAGCCTATGCCAAGAACCTGTCTCGGAAAAGGTAAAGTATTAGATGAGTGGCCATTCTAACTTCTCCCACACAGTTTTCTTAGAAGATGCTTTTTATTTTTTTCCTTTCATGTTATCTTTAGAAATGTATAAACTGAATACATTCTTCTCAAAAAAATTCAACTAGTGGAAAAGTGAGAGCCCTCCTTTGCCCCCCAAATCCCTTTTCATAGACTTTACCTCTGATGGTTTTTGTATTTTTGTCTTTCTACCTATGCATTTACAAACATATATTTATATTGTCATTATAATATATATGCATATCTGTATCTATATATACATTTTAGAAACATGGGGATTATACTTACTACATCATAGGTACCATTCTATGTTAGTACAGTCATATCTATTTCATTTATGAGCACTGTGCAGACATCCATTGGATACATTTCTTTAGCTACATTTATTCATCCTATTTCCTCTTGATGGCAATGTAGTTCCTCTGCCCCACATTTTGCACAAAGGGCTGCTTTGAACATTTCATCCTTAAACTTTGCACACTTGTACCAGTAAAATTTCTGGGTCAGAGGTTATATATAGTTTATGTTTGATAGGTATTCCTAAATTGCTTATCAAAAAAGTGATACTTATACTTCTACCAATAGTGTATGAGAGTGCCATTTCACTACAGCTTGATAACTATTAGATCATTCTTTTTAATCTTTAATAATCTAATAGAGAAAAATGGTTGCCCTTGTTACCAGTGACTTCCATGTCACTAAATTCACTGGACACTTTTAAATCCTTTGCTTCCTTGGCTATTGAACATGCCTTCCTTCTTGAAACAATCTTTTCTCTTAGCTTTCATGATACCCTCTCATTCTCTTCATTTTCCTCCTGCCCCTCCGATTCCTCCTTTGCCAGCTCCTCTTATGCCCTATCCTTAAATCTGGGAGTTTTCAGGGCTCTGTCCTAGGCCTTCCTTTCTTTTCATTCTACACTTTTTTCCTGGGTGATCTTTTCCACTTCGGGGACTTAGGTTGCCATTACATGCTCCTTTGCAGAGTTGTTCAGGCCAGAACCTGGAAGTAATCCTTGATCTTACCCCCCTCTTATCTTTTGTGTTCTAATTAATCACCAATGACCTGTGGTACACTTTCAGTTTGGGAATTTTCCTTCCCCCTTATCCTGGGATTCTCTTTGCCTCTCTCTTATGCTGGATCTCTTTTTCCTGGACCCCTCTTCCTCTGGATTCATTTCCTTCTTCATTATGGTGGAATCTGTCCTTCTCCAGTAGCTTCCTTAGAAAAGCCTGCGTAGGAAGTAATTTTTAGGGACTGTGTCTGAAAATGTTTTTATTCTAACCTAATATTTTACCGAGAACATAGCCAGGTAGAGAATCTAGGTGAGAGCAGAAGCAAGAACTACAGTCCTTCAGCCTGTGGAAAGAAAACCACATTCACAGAAAGATAGACAAAATGAAAAGGCAGAGGACTTTGTACCAGATGAAGGAACAAGATAAAACCCCAGAAAAACAACTAAATGAAGTGGAGATAGGCAACCTTCCAGAACAAGTATTCAGAATAATGATAGTGAAGATGATCCAGGACCTCGGAAAAAGAATGGAGTCAAAGATCGAGAAGATGCAAGAAATGTTTAACAAAGACCTAGAATAATTAAAGAACAAACAAACAGAGATGAACAATACAATAACTGAAATGAAAACTACACTAGAAGGAATCAATAGCAGAATAACTGAGGTAGAAGAACGGATAAGTGACCTGGAAGACAGAATGGTGGAATTCACTGCCGCAGAACAGAATAAAGAAAAAAGAATGAAAAGAAATGAAGACAGCCTAATAGACCTCTGGGACAACATTAAACGCAACAACATTTGCATTATAGGGGTCCCAGAAGGAGAAGAGAGAGAGAAGGGACCCGAGAAAATCTTTCAAGAGATTACAGTTGAAAACTTCCCTAACATGGGAAAGGAAATAGCCACCCAAGTCCAGAAAGTGCAGAGAGTCCCAGGCAGGATAAACCCAAGGAGAAACATGCTGAGACACATAGTAATCAAATTGACAAAAATTAAACACAAAGAAAAATTTTTGAAAGCAGCAAGGGAAAAATGACAAATAACATACAAGGGAACTCCTCCCATAAGGTTAACAGCTGATTTCTCAGTAGGAACTCTACAAGCCAGAAGGGAGTGGCACGATATATTTAAAGTGATGAAAGGGAAGAACCTACAACCAAAATTACTGTACCCAGCAAGGATCTCATTCAGATTCGAAGGAGAATTCAAAAGCTTTACAGACAAGCAAAAGCTAAGAGAATTCAGCACCACCAAACCAGCTCTACAACAAATGCTAAAGGAACTTCTCTAAGTGGGAAACACAAAGGAAGAAAAGGAACTACAAAAACAAACCCATAACAATTAAGAAAATGGTAATAGGAACATACATATCGATAATTACCTTAAACGTGAATGGATTAAATGCTCCAACCAAAAGACACAGGCTCGCTGAATGGATACAAAAACAAGACCCATATGTATGCTGTCTACAAGAGACCCACTTCAGACCTACGGACACATACAGACTGAAAGTGAGGGGATGGAAAAAAATATTCCATGCAAATGGAAATCAAAAGAAAGCTGGGGGCTTCCCTGGTGGCGCAGTGGTTGAGAGTCCGCCTGCCGATGCAGGGGACAGGGGTTCATGCCCCAGTCTGGGAAGACCCCACATGCCGCGGAGCAGCTGGGCCTGTGAGCCATGGCCGCTGAGGCTGCGCGTCTGGAGCCTGTGCTCCACAACGGGAGAGGCCACAACAGTGAGAGGCCCGCGTACTGCAAAAAAAAAAAACAAAAAAAAGTAAGCTGGAGTAGCAATACTCATATCAGATAAAATAGACTTTAAAATAAAGAATGTTACAAGAGACAAGGAAGGACACTGCATAATGATCAAGGGATCAATCTGAGAAGAAGATATAACAATTATAAATATATATGCACCCAACATAGGAGCACCTCAATACATAATGCAAATGCTAACAGCTATAAAAGAGGAAATCAACAGTAACACAATAATAGTGGGGGACTTTAACACCTCACTTACACCAATGGACAGATCATCCACACAGAAAATTAATAAGGAAACACAAGCTTTAAGTGACACAATAGACCAGATAGATTTAATTGATATTTATAGGACATTCCATCCAAAAACAACAGATTACACTTTCTTCTCAAGTGCACATGGAACATTCTCCAGGGTTGATCACATCTTGGGTCACAAATCAAGCCTCAGTAAATTTAAGAAAACTGAAATCACATCAAGCATCTTTTCCCACCACAATGCTATGAGATTAGAAATCCATTACAGGGAAAAAAACGTAAAAAACACAAACACATGGAGGCTAAACAATACATTACTAAATAACCAAGAGATCACTGAAGGAATCAAAGAGGAAATCAGAAAATACCTAGAGACACATTACAATGAAAACACGACGATCCAAAACCTATGGGATGCAGCAAAAGCAGTTCTAAGAGGGAAGCTTATAGCAATACAAGCCTACGTCAAGAAACAAGAAAAATCTCAAACAATCTAACCTTACACCTAAAGGAACTAGAGAAAGAAGAAAAAACCCAAAGTTAGTAGAAGGAAAGAAATCATAAAGATCAGAGCAGAAATAAATGAAATAGAAACAAAGAAAACAATAGCAAATATCAATAAAACAAAAAGCTGGTCTTTGAGAAGATAAAATTGATAAACCTTTAGCCAGACTCATCAAAAAAAGAGGGAGAGGACTCAACAGTAAAATTAGAAATGAAAAAGAAGAAGTTACAACGGACACCACAGAAATACAAAGCAACAAGGATGTCCACTCTTGCCACTATTATTCAACATAGTTTTGGAAGTCCTAGCCATGGCAATCAGAAGCAAAAGAAATAAAAGAAATATAAATTGGAAAAGAAGTAAAACTGTCACTGTTTGCAGATGACATGATACTATACATAGAGAATCCTAAAGATGCCACCAGAAAACTACTAGAGCTAATCAATGAATTTGGTAAAGTTGCAGGATACAAAATAAATGCACAGAAATCTCTTGCATTCCTATACACAAACAACGAAAGATCAGAAAGAGTAATTAAGGAAACAATCCCATTCACCATTGCAACAAAAAGAATTAAAAAAAAAAAGAATCTAGGGTAGAAACAATTTTCCCTCAGAATTTTTTTATTTTTTATTTTATTTTTAGCTGTGTTGGGTCTTCATTGCTGCACATGGGCTTTCTCTAGTTGCAGCGAGCTGGAGCTACTCTTTGTTGCAGTGTGCGGGCTTCTCATTGCAGTGGCTTATCTTGTGGAGCACTGGCTCTAGGCACAGGCTTCAGTAGTTGTGGCACACAGGCTCAGTAATTGTGACTCACGGACTCTAGAGTGCAGGCTCAGTAGTTGCAGTGCACGGGCTTAGTTGCTCTGCGGCATGTGGGATCTTCCCGGACCAGGGCTCGAACCCGTGTCCCCTGCATTGGCAGGTGGACTCTTAACCACTGCACCACCAGGGAAGCCCATCCCTCAGAATTTTGAAGGCATTTCTCCATCATCTTTCAGCTTTTAAATTGCTGTTGAGAGGTACAGTGCCCTTCTAATTCTTCAATTCATGCTTGGTCTGAAATCTGTTCCTTTTCTCTCTGGAAGCTTATAGTATCTTTTGACTTCAGCATCCTGAAATTTTATTATGCGTCATGATGTGGGTCTATTTTAATGCACTGTGTTGGGCAGTTGGTGGGCCTCTCCCTTTTTCCCCTTAACTTAAAAAAAAAAAAGATTGTAAAATATGTACACAGAAAAGTACCTATTCCATAAATTCATAAATATACAGTTTAATGAATTATTGTTAAGCAAATATCCATGTAATTGCCACCCATAAAAGAAACAGAACATTCAATGGTCCTTCTCAATCTGCATGTCAAGTTCTCTAATTTTCTCCTATTATGTCTTTGATAATTTCCTCCCCTTCCCTCTGTTTTCTCTGTTCTCTCTTCTGAATATTTTATTAGCCAAATATTGGACCTCCTGGGCTGATCTTCTGATTTTCTTTAGCTCTCCTATTTTCATTATCTTTGCATTTTTGTTCTGCTTTCTGAGAGATTTCCTCAACTATCCTGTTTTTACTATTATATTTAGAACATATTTTCATTTTGCTATATTTTGACTTTCAAAGATTTTTTTAGTCTCCAAATATTCCTTTTTTATGTAGCATCCTGTTGTCATTTCCCTATGCAATACCATCTTTTATCCCTTTGAGAATGTAAATGATAGAGTTTTTTCTTCTCTGAGGAGTCTTTCCTTCAGGATTTTTTTGACCATTTATTTTGGTCTCTATCATTCATTTTAGAGCTTTCTTCAAGTATATGGAGAACCTTGATTGTCTGCTCATATTTTTTAAAAATAAATTTATTTATTTATTTTGGTTGCGTTGGGCCTTCTTTGCTGCGCATGGGCTTTCTCTAGTTGTGGCGAGCGGGGGCTACTCTCTGTTGCAGTGCAGGGCTTCTCATTGCGATGGCTTCTCTTGTTGTGGAGCACAGGCTCTAAGCGCGTGGGTTTAGTAGTTGTGGCTCACGGGCTTTAGAGCACAGGCTCAGTAGTTGTGGTGCATGGGCTTAGTTGCTCTGTGGCATGTGGGATCTCCCCAGATAAGGACTCGAACCCATGTCCCCTGCACTGGCAGGCAGATTCTTAACCACTGTGCCACCAGGGAAGTCCTGTCTGCTCATATTTAAGATCCTGGTTACTAAAAAGATGCTTGGAAACTCTGTGTTTGCTACTGTGGTCTTTACTACAGAGTGGTTTGATCAGCTTTTTACTTGGGAAACCCTGAATATTGGTATCTTCAAGTCTTTGGGACCCAACTTGGGGAAAGAAAGCTGCACGTGTGTAGGGAGAGGGGTGGTCTTATCATTCAGAATATATTTTTTCACTTTATTTCTCCCCTTTTCAGCATATCCTTGCCACTCAAACTGCCTGATAACCATGCCATCATCTGGGAGTTTGTTTAGAAATGCAGATTATGGGTCCCCACCCCAGATGTATGGAATCAGAATCTGCCTTTTTACAAGCTCCCAAGTGATATGTCCATTAAAGTTGGAAAAGTGCTGCTATATGGTCTTTTACATCAGATGACCTGTTAGAATGGGAGGCGTGGCATATTAATATTTCTACTATGATTGTAGTTTCTCAAATTCTCTTTATATTTATAATCTTTGTTTTATAAAGTTTGAAGCCATATCATCTGATGAACAGAAGTTTGTACTTTTTACATCTTCTTGGTAGATTATACTTTTTAATTCTATACCCCCTTTTAAAAAAACTTCTTAGATAATCTTGATTCACATGCAGTTATTAAGAAATAATACAAAGAAATCCCATGTACCCATTTATCCAGTTTCCCCCAATGGAACAAACCATAGTACAATGGCTATACACAGATATTGTAAAACTATAGTACAATACCACGACCAGGATATAGACACTGATACAGTCAAGATACAGAACAATTCTATAACTAGGGATCCTTCATCTTGATCCTTCCTCCCCAACTTGGCAACCATTGAGCTGTTCTCCATTTCTATGACTTTGTCACTTCAAGAATATTATATAAAAGGAATCATATATTATGCAACCTTTGGGGATTGGCCTTTTTCATTTAGCATAATTCTCTGGAGATTCATCCAAGTTGCTGTGTGTATCAATAATTTATTCCTTTTTTATTGCTGAGTAGTTTTCATGGCAGTTATGTTTTCATGGCATGTATGTACCATAGTTTGTTTAATCATTCACCTGTTGAAGGACATCTAGGATGTTTCCAGTGTTTGGCTATTGTGAATAAAGATGCTTTGAACATTCATGTACAGGTTTTTGTGTAAACATAAGTTTTAATTTCTCTGGGACAAATGCTCAGGGGTGCAATGACTGGTTGCATGTTTATTTTTTTAAGACACTGCCAAACTGTATTTCAAAGTTGTTATATCCTTTTACATCATTAGCAATGTATGATTCAGTTTCTCTGCATCCTCGCCAGCATTTGGTGTTGTCACTAATTTTTGTTTTACCATTGCATCTATAGATCAATTTGTGGAGAGTTGACATCTTTATAATGTTAAATTTTCCCATCCATGTACACAGTATATCTCTCCATTTATATCTTCCTTATTTCATCAGCATTTCGTAGTTTTCAATATACAAGTCCTGTACATGTTTTGTTAGATTTACATCTAAGTATTCTATTTTTTGTGTGTGAAAGGAACTGCATTTTTAGGTTTTTTTTGCCCAAGAGTTCATTGCTAATATATATAAATAAAATTTATGTTTATTTTATATCCTATGACCTTGCTGAATTCGTTTATTAGTTCTAGGAGATTTTTTCTTTTTTTTAGATTCCTTTGGATTTTCTACATGGACAATCATGTCATCTATATATAGCAACAGTTTCAGTTCTCCCTTTCCAATCTGTGTGCCTTTTATTTCCTTTTCTTGCATTATTGCACTGGCTACAACTTCTAGTGGTATGTTGAATAAGTGTGGTGAGAGCAGATATCCTTGCTTTACTCCTGATTTTTTTAATACTATAAAACCCTATGTCTTAATGCTTTTTAAGTTGAATTCCACTACAGACTAATACTTAACATTGCCCCATTTTTATTTGCATGTTAACTCCTACTTCTTTCCCTATACAGTTGAAGAGGGTATCTTTTTTTTTTTTGAAGAGGATATTGTAAAAGAAATGAGGTCTTTTCCATTCCTAATGTCCATGATCCTCTTATGTATTTTCTTTCTAAATTCAAGGAAAATATACTGAAAAGGATGTTGATTTGATTGTCATAATCATTCTCTAATTATGAATTCCTCCCTAAATGCACTTAGAGAATTGTAAGTGTGAAAACTCATAAGTACAATTAAATCCACGTGTTGAATAGACCCAGATGAATTTTTAATTTAACTAAGAATTTTAATTAGTTTGATATAGAAAATGAAGAACCTTATTTCCAAGTGGAGAACTTTCTTTAAAGGAAATGTTTAACAGCAAAATCAGATGTATTAAACAGACATAAAAAAGTAACACTATTTTTTTCCTTACCCCAGGCCTTTCCCCTGGTTTGATCTGACTGCTGTGCAACTCAAGGAAACTCCCTTTAGCCAGTATCTCTCACACAGCACTACTTTTCAGGACAACCTTACCCACCTATACTGTGATTCATTTGGTATCACCCTAACCAAAGAACAAGAGCCAGAGGTTTCCACAGGTTTTTCATCCCAATAAGAGAAGAGACCTCAGGAATCAGGATGTTTTTCTCCCTCTACAGTGGTAATGCCCTGATTATCATAATTGACAGTGGAAGTCATGTGACTGTATGGTGTCTGCCATATGTTAGGCAGTAAGGAATTAGAAAATTGTACTGATGGCTCTTTAAAATCTAGAATAAAACAAAAGGTTCTTTACATCAGTATATTTGGGTGTGTCCGGCTTTTGGAAGCAACTGAATGAAACCACATAACCTGACACACTTAAGTAAGCTGCTTCCCCAGCAGCTAATTATCAATTCAGTTAATTCAAATTATCTCTTGTCTAAAAGCTAAATTCAAGAAGTTATATTGTCATTATTAAATGGTTACATACTTCTTCTGTAGCATTCTTTTCCTACAATATGTAGCTACAGTATGTAGTTACATTCTTTCCCTTTAGCAGTATGTAGCTGACAAATGATACACCTTGATTGTCCCACACTTTGAGTAGAAAAATAAAATGTGTGGTAAACAATCTTAATTGAATTATGACTCATTTTAGGCTTATTTCAGCTAAACATGACTGTTCTGGTACTATCTTATTTAAAGCTGTTCCCCTTTAAACTATTTTAAACCATAAAACCATTTTAAAAAATAGCTGGCATTACAACTACTGGAGACTGCGTGCCCTGGAGCCTGCGTGCCCTGGGCCCACATGCCGCAACTACTGAAGCCCGCGTGCCCTAGAGCCCGCGTGCCATAACTACTGAGCCCATGTGCTGCAACTACTGAAGCCTGCATGCCTAGAGCCCATGGTCTGCAAGAAGAGAAGCCACCGCAATGAGAAGCCCACGCACCGCAAGGAAGAGTAGCCTCCGCTCGCTGCAACTAGAGAAAGCCCGTGCGCAGCAACGAAGACCCAACACAGCCCCCCCCCACCAAAAAAAAGCCAGCATTTATATTAAGTGGCTAAAAATAATTCTACAAAATATAGATTTTATACCTACAGTTCAAATTTATTTCCTTTACGTTTTGCAATTACTTTATGTCAATTATAATAGAGTAGAAAACAAAGCAGTAACCATAAAGTTGAGAAAGCATGGTGCTGACTATGCTCTGTCACTGAACAGAACTATTGTTTGCCAAATGCTAAAGTGCTTTGGAACAAAACCATTCACTCTACATGTAAACCACCATGGTCTTAGGTAAATCATTTACATTTTTCTTTTTTGCATGCTTGTGAGCGAAGCAGACTCAATGGTATGGTGTTAAATGGTATAAGATAAAATTTTGCTAGTCCACTTGGGAAAAAATTAGGTTCATCATCAAACATTAACACGTGACATGAATGCTAATTTGAGGCACTGTTCTTTCTCTCAGTAGGAAAAGAAATGGATTCCTTTGACTATTCATTCAGATGTAAGGAACTGGATAGGGTACATCATTGCCCTTCTGGATTATGGTAGCCCTACAGTGGTTCTTAGGATTAAGAAGTGTGGCTGGGAAGAGAAAGAGAAGTTAGTCTATAAAACTAGAGTGGAATTGGAGTCATTCAAGCAACAAGAAGTATTTTTAATTTCTTTTGAACAGTCCAGTCACAGGCAGACTCTGGTCTGAATTTCATTTTATAAAAGTCTGGAGTTACCATATAAAATGCCTTGTAAACAAACCCCAGACCCTAGTCCATGGTCAATGATATAGTTCTATAAGCCATGTTGTTTTAACAGGTAAATACAAATCTAAAAAAATATTTTTAAAATTTTGTTCTCTGATGCCAAAAAGGAATGAGAACTTCCCGCCTCCTTTTTCATAACACATTTCCTTTTTTTAAACATCTTTATTGGAGTATAATTGCTTTACAATGGTGTGTTAGTTTCTGCTTTATAACAAAGTGAATCAGTTATACATATACATATGTTCCCATATCTCTTCCCTCTTGCGTCTCCCTCCCTCCCATCCTCCCTATCCCACCCCTCTAGGTGGTCACAAACCACCTAGCTGATCTCCCTGTGCTACGTGGCTGCTTCCCACTAGCTATCTATTTTACGTTTGGTAGTGTATATATGTCCATGCCACTCTCTCACTTTGTCACAGCTTACCCTTCCCCTTCCCCGTATCCTCAAGTCCATGCTCTAGTAGGTCTGTATCTTTATTCCCATCTTACCCCTAGGTTCTTCATGACCCTTCTTTTTTTTCCTTAGATTCCATATATATGTGTTAGCATACAGTATTTGTTTTTCTCTTTCTGACTTACTTCACTCTGTATGACAGACTCTAGGTCCATCCACCTCACTACAAATAACTCAAATTCATTTCTTTTTATGGCTGAGTAATATTCCATTGTATATATGTGCCACATCTTCTTTATCCATTCATCTGTTGATGGACACTTAGGTTGCTTCCATGTCCTGGCTATTGTAAATAGAGCTGCAATGAACATTGTGGTACATGACTCTTTTTGAATTATGGTTTTCTCAGGGTATATGCCCAGTCGTGGGATTGCTGGGTCGTATGGTAGTTCTATTTGTAGTTTTTTAAGGAACCTCCATCCTGTTCTCCATAGTGGCTGTATCAATTTACATTCCCACCAACAGCATAACACATTTCCTTTTAAAAACTTGTAATATAAATCCTTTTTCTCTGTTTTTGAGATGTATGCTACTCTTCTAAAAAGGTGAATAAACTTTCTGCCAGTTTTCCATCCCGGGACTGTCTTTTGGGGGAGGGGGCCCTTGGAGCCGCCTCTTTGAAATGCGAGCATTTAGAAGGATGGCACTTTGTCTCCCTGACGCTGGGGGTTTAGCCTAAGTGCTTGGCTCCAGGTAGTAACTTTCTGTTTGTCACAAAGATATGAGAACTTTTATTTTTCCTTTGGATACAGACAGTCAACATGTAAATAATGGATTATATCTGCCTGGCTATATAGAAGGGTGAGATTTCCTTGTCTTGGCAATCTCTTTAGTGGCCTGCCTGTAATGTGCATCACAGTCTGATTTTATGCTGATTCAGTAATAAAACTGTTCCCTTGTCTGCACTTATGAAGAGGATTATCTGGGTTGGCAGGTGATTTTACTTTTAGTCTGTTTCTCCATCGTGCTCCTACTACCAGATGAAGTACTAGAATTTATCAGGAATTCTTACAATTACCCAGAAAGAGAAATATTGCTATCTTTGTTTTAACAAAGGACTAAATTGAGACACAAATAAAGGGAAGGTGCTGTGAGTCACTGGCAGAACTAGGAATGGGGCCAGCAGTTCTAACTCTGATCCTGAATGAAGAGAAAAAGAAAATGCAGAAATACCACACTTCTTCCCCCACATAATTTAATTTGATTTTCAAGCTAAGTGAAACGGCTTGCCCTATGGTTCAATGGAATATAATGCTGCATCCTCTTCAGGGGTGGTTATTTCTGGAGCATAATCCTGTAATCCCACTGCTTGCACAAATTCAGACAAGGTCAAGGAATCATATTTAACTCCACTATGACATTTTTGCTCTAAAAATAAGCCAATATTGTCCCTGTAGGGAAGGCTGATGGAGCGTGTGAATAATGGCTCTTCAATTCCCAGTAGCTCCCGGGTATGCTGAGAAATTACCTGTAATGCAAGGATAATTTTTTAATGGGATTAACCTGAAAATACAACTAAATCAAGTAAGTTTTACTTAGATTCCTAGACCTCTTGAATGCTAACCCCTTAAGCTAATTCTATGGGGAAATAATAACGAGATAACACATTGAAAGGCTTCCTACCCTGGCATTATCAAAACACAGTTCTTAAGAGAAACATCATATGATTTATCTTTTTAAAAGTGCCACTTAAAGATGTTTCTAGACCCTTGCATCAGATAGCCATGGATGAGTTCATTTCTTTTTCTTGGCTGAGCAATTTGACCAATGATATGAGCAGATAATATGTTCAGATTAGGAGCCATGACTTTCTCTAGGAAGGTTAATAAATAACTTTATAAGGGGCTCAGTTAACTAAGAAAAAAATTATTACTCAGTTATTCAATTTATTTGCCTGGAAAGAAATCTCAAACACTAAAAAGCAGACATTAACGTTCCAGTTATTTTATTAGTGCCTATACTTGTATATTCTTTTAAAATATCTTTTGCCACAATTTCAGTGTCTCTAAAACATACTTTGTATTCATTGAGTACCATGCCACTTGATATCCTAAACTGTCAGTGCATTTTCAAAGTCTAGTTTTAATCGCAGGTCTGTTATAACACTGCTATTTGAATTCATATTCTGCCTCTGAGTGAGAATGTAGTCCGTGAAATTGCTGCTAGAACACAGTCAAAGGAGTATGTGGAATGGATTTTTGTTTGTTTAAAACTACTGGCCATAGTTACAAGGCTGGAAAATTCACACCACAGACAATTCTTAACCTGACGCAAAACTGCCCATTAGGAGTACATTTTAGATAGCTAAAATACCATTATTAAAGCAGATGTATCATGTCCTCAAGATCTGCTTGTTGATTCATATAACAGTGTGGATTAATCTTAAATGCATTTTGCTAAGGGAAAGAAGCAAGACTCAAGGCCTACATATTATTTGATTTCATTCGTGTGACATTCTGGAAAAACTATAGGGATAAAAAACAGATTAATGGTTGCCAGGGATTAGGTGGAGGGATAGGCTGACTACAGTGGGGACACGGGAAGTTTTAGGGTGATAGAATCGTTCTATACAGTTCTGTGGTGGTGGATACATGACCCTGTGCATTTGTCAAAACCCACAGAATTGTATACTAAAAAGAGTGACTTTACTGCAGGTAAAATTTTTAAAAGCCAGGATGTTGTGGGAACCCATGATGGAATATAAACTCTGGGCAGATGAATCTAACTTTATTACAAATTAAGGCAAAATCTCACTGAAGGGGGCTGGGAAGAAAGGAGCTGACCTAAATAACTTTAACTTTGAAAAACAGTGCTTTGTCTAGTTAGTGTAAGGCTAATGACAAAAAGAACCGTACACAAATACTGTACTCTTTTGGTAAATTTGTTTCTTATAGGGATACGTATTTATAAATAAGCAGAGCCAGGTTTCTCACTGTCAGAGAAAGAAGTTATAAAGAAGCAAAGTGGGGTAGGGAGTAGGAAGGATGAAAGCTAGTATGAACCCTGTGGTGATGGACT